CCCTTGCAACACTGGGCCAAAACCATGCTTTGTTTTGGCTTATTCAATTCATGCTAAATTGCTATACGTTATTAAAATGCTGCATATTTTTTATTTACTGTGAAAAACAGCTTTAATTATGTCATATTAAGGAAACATTTCAAACATCTACTTGTAGAAACAAAAAGAATAGATATGTCAGCTTGATTCACAAAGCACCTGGAAATTTCAAAATGTGGTATAAGTATTATGTGAAAGACAGTATGATATTTGAATGCTTTTCACATTGAAAACTAATACTAAAATTTTGTTTTAAAAACACTTTAAACCATTTAAGAAGCAGGAAAAGGAACTAAATAAAGATACTTTTAAATATCTCAACTATTAATGATACTGAATAAGATGATATTTTATCTTTACCATTAAATAAGCTACCTTTCATTTTTTTAGAACAGTAAAGTCAAATTTTTACTTGTATATAAAAAAAACATTTAAAGCACCTCTCTTATACAGTATAGTTTTTATCTGTTCTAACAAGCAAACACTAAGTACAGTTTCCAAAATTATACTTTTTTCTTTGTTGAAACGTAATAAGAAATCATGGTTGAATGGATGATAAGTGAGTGTGCTATAACCTTATCTCTTTCAATTGATGAGGGCCTTCTGCATGTCTGTGGTGGTTTTATCATCAAGAAATATGGGGCTATGATAGAATTCTTGTGGCAACTGCTTTTGTACAGAGAACATAATACTAGCTGTATAATGAGATATATAAATATACTTTATATCCCCCTCCCCACCATTTTTGGAAAAAAATTAAACAGGTTTAAACCCAAACATTTTAAACTTAAAGTCATCGTAAGTGCCTAAGTTGTCTGTCATTTTGTTTATATATTTTTCAAAGATAAAGACATTCATAGACCATGGATAGAGCTGGAGAACATTATGCTAAGTGAAATAAGCCAGTCAGAGAAAGACAGATCCATATTATTTCATTCATATATGGAACAAACTGTAGCAACAAGCAAAGGAGAGGCAGACTCACAGATAGAGAGCAGGCTGACAGCCCCGGGGGGTGGGGGTTAGGGTGTGCAGGGTTAGAGCAAGAAGGAGAAAGGGCTCGTGGACATGACAACAGTGTGGGGATTGTGGGTGGAGTCGGGTATAAGGATAAATGGTAATGAAAAAGTACAATAAATATACATTTAAAATAAGACATTGTTAGAAAACATTTAAATGTGTGCAATTATAACATGAATTCTGTTTTAACTCTATTACTATGTCCTTTGTTTTCTGAAAAGGATGTAGTTGCTCACTCACTGCTTTGAACTTTTTTCTCCCTGAGAATTCTATAGACTTACATGTTTTCTTTTCTTGCTTGTAATTATTGGCAAGATGGCCATGGAGGATACTGAATTTTAGTCTATTAACGACCTAGGATGGAAGCTATGCCAGCCCAGTAGCACAGTTGATCAGCTCAACTAGGCACCATGGGAGATTGCTCTTGGGTTCAGTTTTCGGACACAAGGCCACTGCCCAAGAAACTGTCTTCCTAGGATGCTGTCCTCCACCACCACCACCCATTTGCCACCGCAGAGAAACAGTGCTGGACCAGAGCCTAGTCTTCAGTTCTCAGAAATACAGTTTTGTCCACACATGCAGTGTCAGGCTTTCCACAGATCAGCCAGCATACCGTTTTATTCCTTGTTAAGAAAGTACACTTGTGCAACAGGCCCTGTCATATTCCATGATCGGGGCCTTCCCTCCATGCAGACATGAATGCGGAGGCTACAGAGGGAGGAAGACAGTCTGCAGGCCTAGTTCGCAAAGGTTCCAGGGAAACTTGATAAAGCATCTTGATCCCACAACTGTGAATGCCTCTGGTCGTTAAGAGTCTGGCCCTCTCCCTTCACAGTCCTGGATAAGCACTGCCAAATTCTGCCCAAGCTGTTTGCATCAGTGATTTTCAACCAGTTTGCTAGACACAGCTGACCTCAAGTTGAAACATGCAGTATCTTTAGTCAGAGGCACTGACCTCTTTTCCCTTAGATCATCAAATTAAAAAATGACAGTAGCCAACACAATAGCCAGCTGGTGTGAATGAATCAAATTATGCCCATTTTTTTTTCAAATTGACAAAATATCTACTTTTGGGTGTATCATAGAATTTTAGTAATAATTAGTTTATGTGTGCCACGGGATGAAAAAGGTTGGTCTTCATCAATGGTCTTTGTCATTTGAGCCTTGTTCTTCTTGGCCTTTGACATTCTGTAAGGTGAAGATACCAACTTCATCTAATAGTTGTCATTTATTATATATTAATTTTTTACAAATATGATGAGTGGGAAGTGCTAAAAGGATGTTTGATATTTTCCAGAATTATGAGGCTGTACCTATTTGAATGGACTCTTTGTAACATTAGTTTTTCTCAGAAGAGCCTCTATCAAGTTGTGAGCAACTGGCTATATTTAATATGAATGAATATTATAATATATTGTGTTTTAACATGGTGCATTGTGCCTCATATTCAATATAGTGTGTCCAGTACTGCCCACCTATGAGTACAGTTAAAACTGAGTCAAGCAGGGTCATCAACAGTCTTAACAACATGACTAGTGATATGCCTCCTCTTCTATTCATGTTCTTCCTAATGTCTTAATAAATAAACATGCCTGGGGAAAGCTGCCTGCCGTACTACTTTGAGTGATGCTTGTAGTGTAATGATACTGCTTGCATCTTGGGAAGATTATATAAGCAATGATGCGAGCACTGATTGGGAAGATTGCTCTCCTATATTCAAGTGGTATGACATCAGTAAGATTAATTGCTTTACCATCAAATAAACAGGTTTGCATTTGGTTTTTGTTTTAACAATTGATGATTGATGAGATGCATTAATTTTGTGTGTCCCCTCCTGGTAGCAGATACCTGTTACATGTCAGCATGAAAGTGCAATTTCTAATCAGGGATGATGTAGCCAACAGGATAGCTGTCAAGGTGCATGAGGGCAACTGACCAATGTACAGGCAGGAGATGCTTCAAGACTATCGAGCTGTTGTCTTCAGTGTTGGTTTGCAGATCAAGTTGTTGCAAATGTTTCCATCATTCCAAGACACCATCACCCAAAAATATGTATTGCATTTGATACATTTGTCTCACAAGTATGGTGCTTTGTTTGTTTGCTGTAAAATGAAGAAGAGGGCTGTTGATGTTTTCATTACCCTTTCTATTTTACTCCTTTCTTTGAGGACTCCCTTGGGAGAAAGGAAAGACTGCTAGAGATTCTCCAACAGACGTGGACCACTGTGTTCCGGAAGTGTCAGCCTTTGAACTGGAGATTGTTTTGAACTTTTTCTCTTCTCATATTCCTTTTCTTGAGAGTCTACCACCTGAATATGACTGTGTTAATTTCATACCAGCATTAACTTTAACATTCATGGAAGAATGTTGGAGTATGCAGCCATTTGGGTGCTGTCAGATTCACAGGTCAACTACTTTCATTTCGTTCCTAGTAGAGTGGGAACATACTGTCCTCAGTAAACTGTAAATTATCAGGGAACAGATCTTTGAGTTAGAGCATAATTGATCCAAAGTATCACAAAGCATTTTAATGTGAGAAACATGCATGGGGTTTTTTTGACTCATTAAATTTTTCTTTTGTTTGTGTAATAGAATTTTGTTGCTTCAATTCAAAATGGGATGCCTGGAAACTTTGTGATCCTATGACCCCCCCCCCCCCCCAAAAGGAGCAAAAAAAATTTTTTTGGTACTTAATAAAGTATGACATACATATCTAGCAATGAATTTAAAAAGTGTTTAAAAGGCATTTTACGATATAGTGTCTTTTTGAAGTATACCTGAAATTGTGCTTTGCTCTTCAGTCAGCACAAGGGCAGGCAAAAAGCAAAGGCTGTGAGGGCCACAGGCCTGAGGGGTTTGTTGCAAGTAGGAGCCATCATGTGCATTGCGTGTGAGCCTGGGTGAAAGGCCAGACTGAGCCAGCTCCTGTGCCACCCATCACCCTTTTGCTAGAAAATTCTCTGTCTTCCTTCTCTACACATGTGTATTTTCTTAAAGAAATACACATAGGAAATTGTTAGGTTTTTTGCTTATTGACAATCCTTAAACAGATACTTAATAATCTTATCCTTGGTTTTTATCCAGGGTTTGAAACAAAAAGAAAAATGGAAACTTAAAATTTAATATAAACCAAGGGAAGTATTTTTCAAAATTACTTTATTCCTCTTTTGAAAATAGCTCAGTTTCCAGCCAAAACTATAGAGATGCTATGAAAGGAATCCACTTGAGAAGTTGAGTAAAAAAGATTATTTTGATTAAATTAGAAAACTGGATTTCCACCTTTTGTGATGCATACCTTGGTTTCTATAAATTCTAATGATTTATTTCCTCTTTTTATTAAAATGATATGGTGTCAATGGATTTGTGACTTTCTTAGAACATATAGAATGAGGTATGGTGTTTTGTTTTTGCAAAGATCATTAAACTTGAAATTCTTAATTTGGAAATTTTTTCCTTTGGTCATTAGTGATATCTCCTTGGTCTAATTATAATTATGCAATTGACCTTCATTAAAGCTATTTAGAATTTGTTCCTAATGGAGTAAATTCCTCCAAATAATTCAGTCTTTCCTTAAAAATGTATTTTTTTGCTATAACTTGTTTTTAACAAAAAACTAAGGAATGTTAAGGAACTCACATTTCTATTCCTACAAATAAGACAATGTATGAGTCAGTAATTTTTGCTTATTTGCTGAGTACTGGGTGATTGTATTTAAACAACAAATACTTGGTTTTATTCATCAAGTTAAGATTAAGTAATCAGAGAGTATTTTGAGAGAACTTCAAAGTTCACCACGGTCAGAAATCATGGACTGATTTTCTTTTTACAGGTTGCATGGGGACAGGTAGTATCCTTACTCAGAAATTAGAAAGTGCCTAATAAAGTTGACTCCTGCAGTTGCCTCCAAACACCAGTGGTAAATGATTGTTTCCTCTTCACAGTGCTCCAGCTGAGGCTGCAACAGAGGAGAACGAGAGAACAGCTAGTGGACCAGGGCATCATGCCACGTAAGATTTCAGTGTCCTTGTCATCTCTAATGGGACGTAACAAAATAGGCATGTCCAAGAAGAACCTGGAGCATACTATACTCAGTTGTATCCATGTACTCAACCAGATAATTAATTACCAGATGAATGTATAAGGAAAAACCAGGCTTCAGCACTGCCAACTTGAGAGAATCATTTAAAACACATTTGGAAAACCGATGCTGATTAAAAGATGGACTCAAATTGTATATTATACAAAGAACACCTTTAAAACTCTGTAATTAGGCTAACATCAGTTCTGCGAACTGCAACATTTGTTTTAGTTTTCAATAATTAAAGTAATTACGCTACATAATAGGTCCAGTGTTACTTAGACTTGCAAAAGCAGCATGATAAAATTAACTCAAAACCTTATTCTAATTTAAATTCTCTTTGCTAATGTATGGGCTGTAATCAGTTAAGGACTAATAAACATCCTATTTTAATTAGTAAAATCTTTCTTCCCCAAATACAGATATTTTCCACCTATCTCTAAGCTTCAGTCCTTCATTTTTTGCAAGTTGATTAATTTTAGAATATTTTTCCAGGTTGTTGTCTTCTTTATCTTTAATCACCAAGTTTGAAGACGATGTTACATTTTAGAGGGGAAGAGTGATTTTGTGTAGGCCATTAGGATTATTTATGGATTTTGTTTAAAAATTGATTTATCTAAGAGGTAACTTACTTGGCTTTTAAAAAACAAAGAAATTACAAAATGCTTTTATGCTTCCCAGTCGTCTGAGTCACTGATACTACCTTTTTTGGTTTATAAAGAACAGTTTTTCTCTGCAGTGGATTTTCCTCATTGAATCTTTTTTTTTTTTTACTATTAATTATCTAAATATTTTAAAGCTGGCATTGTGACAGAGTCAAAGCTTGTTTAATCTGCCAGATTTCTCCACCACTACATTCCCGAATGGGAACAGGATCAATCAAATAGGATCAAATATGATGTTTAAGACACCGCTGCTAAGCCAGTCGTAATCTGGGTTTGGAAGCTGATCCATGGCCAGTCCTGTTTGGACTGGGTTGCTGGAAGTCTTTGCTATGCTTCAAGCACCAGAGCTGACAATAGTAATGCTACCGAGAGCTGGCTGGCCCCGTTTTAGAGATGGCGGCCCAAGTAAGCCCAGCCCTGTATCTCACCCATATCATTTGACTGCCCATAGCCATAGGTGCAGAATGTTATCAGATAGTGGTGGACATACACATAAGAGAATTTGCACAGATAATTGACAGAAAGACTGCAGTAGGCAATATTTCAGTAAATAAACACTGCTTGTTCTTACCCTCTCTCTGGGATTCTGGAATATTTAATGTAATAGCAGTTAGTGTATTAAAGAATTACTATGTCAAAAAAACGGAATTACTATGTCATTCGCATTACTGTGTCTAAATGCACTGTGAGTGAGTGTGGTGCATGTGCATTGTGGTGTGGCAGAAAGAGCATGAACCTTTCCATTCAAAATTCTAGATTTAAATCTCACTTTGACCATCATCTAGCTATATGACTTAAAGAATTCATTTTACTTTTGAGCTTTTCGTCTGTACTGGGGTAATTCCTGCCTTGCGAGGTATATTGTTGTGATATACACAGCAATATAACTGTGATTGACCACAGAACACTGGGTTAAGCCTGTTATGGGTTCTCAGTAAATGGTAAATCAGATCTGTGAGACATGGAGTAAAGAGTGTCCTCATGTTCAAGGTTAGATCACTCATGATTAAATGTCCTAAGGATATTTGGGGTTTTTCCAGTAGTTGATATGGCCATTAAAAGCAAAGATCTGTCAAGGAATCATCAAAGAGTTCCCTTGTGATAGTGTAATATTTCACCCAACTATTGGTTGGAATTAATCTGACCTGATATTTGCATTGTCATTATGTATACAACTCCATTTTATTTTTTTATTTAAAGATTTTATTTATCTATTTACTGTTAGAGAGAGGGGGGAAGGAAGGAGAGGGGGGGAAACATCAGTGTGAGAGAGAAACATTAATCATTTGCCTCTTGCACACCCCAGCCGATATAATAGCAACCATAGGCAACTGAGGCATGTGCCTTGATGGGCAGTTGAACTGGTGACCTTTTGGTTTGCGAGATGACACCTGACCCACTGAGCCACACCACTCAGAACTACAACTCCATTTTTAATGTTCACTTGTTTTATTTGTACAATATGTAATTTTAATTCTGAAACATTTAAGGTTCCAAATTTTGCAGATCTCCTAAAGGAACTAGTAAATAAATAGAACTGTACATGCAAACTAATATGATTAAGACGAAACATCAACAAGACATACTATAACATTTGACTGAAGTATTAACTCCTCTATTTATACCATGAAACCAATTTCTTTTCCTCTCACAGCTTTGAAGAGCCCAGCGGCATTCCATGAGCAAATAAAAAGCTTGGAACGAGCCAGAGTAAGAAATCTCAGTTTTAAATGTTCTACTTTTCTGTTTCTCTTTCATTTCAAAGTGCCTGTGGACAAGTTGCAGTATATTTTCAGGATACATGGTATATAGAATAATATATTCTGGGGTAGTTTTATCTTGGAGGTTGGTAGAAAATACATGACATTCAAATTTTGTTCTTTTAAAACCAGTGACTAATTTTGTACATAAAGAACAAATCATATTTTTTCACTTTCTTGCTTCCGAGGCATAACCACAGTTTTTAGAATAATACTGGAGTAATTCTGCAATGTGCTACCCCAGCAGATGGACACAGACCCTACTGTGTCCCCTGTACATTTGACCAAGAGTAGGAGAGTCTGAGTGAAAGACTGTGGCCTGTTTTCCACTCTGCTTTATTTTTGCAGTTGACTCCATCGTAGTTACACATCTAATTGATATTTATTATATTTCTTTAAAATGTACATTTTTCTTTTTAAGGAAAACTTTTATCATGTTTTATGAAAGGCATGTTCTAAAAATTTCTTTAGCATTTTCTGAGGATGCAATAATGATCTCTTTGAGTCTTATAAAATATAAAAACCCATTTTAAAACCCTGTTGTTTAGAATTGAATACAGTTCTGAGTAAGAAAATATGGCCAAAGATATGATGAACTCATCAAAGAAAATACATGAGAAATTTTTAGGAAAACTTGTTATGTAGGTATATTTTTCACTTAACCTGAAGATTAGATTTTCTTGATTTTCATTATTCAAATAAGCAAAATTAATGTCTGTTCAAAAATCAGCTTCCAAATTAGAGCCTTTGCCTTTGCCGAGTTTTAAAAGAAAAGTCTATAAATCAATTGTTTTATTCCAGCATACACTTCAAGTCCCTGTATAGTGTTAAAGGCTGTAGTCTAAATCATGTATTGGATAATAGTTTCCCAAAGTACTAATTTCTTTTCTTTTCTTACTCTCAAAATCATGGCCAAAAGGATATCAATTAATTTAAATGGAGAGGCTTGAGAGAAAAATATATAAAACCACAATAAGTCATAAACAGTTTGTGGTAAGACTTTCTTTTTTTTCCCCCCTAAAGACTGAAAACTTTTTAAAGCACAAGATTCGGAGCCGACCAGATCGTTCTGAACTTGTCAGGATGCACATTTTAGAAGGTAAAGTTTTATTTCTGCTTATTTTGTTGCATTTTCTCAAGAAAATGAGTAAGAATTCCACAATTTCTGTTTATACCTATTTTAATAACTTTTATCCCACAGGCTGACATATTCCAAACTAGATGGCAACATGTAAACCCAATGTTAAATGTTATATTAGGTACATGGGGAAAGTTTGATTTTCCAAATAACCAGCTGATAGACTGACTCTTCCCCACCAGCTGGTGCCATAAGTATTTTTACCATCCTGTCCTGGAAAAACATTTTTGGTCCAGAGGGTTTCTTCCCCAGCAAGGGGCATGTGCCCAATCATTATTCATAAAGAGTACAATAGCCACAAGTCTAACCATAGATTTTCGGCTACTTGGGCCCTGTTATGTCTACCTGGTATGATGCCCACACTTAACATTTTTCTCTCCATTGCTTACCCACAACACTCCAGCTTGTTCTATTATCTTAAGCACCCTCCACTTGGCCCACAAGATTTTCTCAATGACGCAGCCTCATCTCTTGGGAAGCTGGTAGGGATGATTCTGCTCCATCGTTGGTAGAAACCTAAAGCCACTATGTTTTCTCTCTAAAGACAGAGACATCCTTGAAAGCTTGTATCTCCACCAAAAATTCCTCAAGTTACATATTCTTTCATTGTTTTGCTTCTTTGACTAATTTGTTGAGCAAAACTAGGAGCTTGACTGTGTGATACTCTTGAGTGTGTTAAACCTTGAGAAGCTACAGAAGGAATCTGAAAACTCAAATATTTAGACAAAGTTACCAGATAAAAGGAATAAGATTTGTTGTGTCTGGCCTGATGACAGACTTAGTATTAGAATTAGATTGACATTATAAAGTGTTAGATCATAGCTCAACATATTATTCCTAAAGGTCAGACGTGTCAAAATATAAAATCTTCAGGAAGCCTATGGAGGCTGTTATTGGAGGTGTTTATTCATTGGCCAGTGAGTTAGACACCAGAGGCCCAACAAGTTAACCTGTCTTCATGGAGTTTACATTCTAATGGCACAGGCAGATAAACAGGCAAAACAAATGAATTATAAATTCAGAAAAGTGCTCTCCAGGGAATAAATAGGCTGCTGTGATAGGGAATAAGCACAAGCTGACACCACACTAAGGATGTTGTAAAGAAGTTCCAAGTGTAAAGTTGGCCTCTCTAACTCTGAGTAGTGTCTCTTCTAATCCAAAGGATCTATGATTATGTGACGGTCTTCATACCTGGGGCAGGAAGTGAAAGCTCCTGGCCAATAAACTCTACTTTGGGTCATGTTCTCAGAAGTCCACTGGACGGATAAAGCTTTTCCAGAATTCCAGTGGTAGGGTAGGAGCAACTGCCAGCAGCTTACCAGGGATAAGTTCATCTTCAGAGAAGTAAGTTTACTCATAAGTAAACATTTTTGGTCCAGAGGGTTTGGTAAATGGCTGCTTCTCTGCCTGCAGACATCTTAACCTGTGAGGGACATTTTTGTGGCAGCAATGCTCTATGTTTCAACATACCTCCTAACTGTAACAGGCTTTGTTAATATAATTAAAACCAAGGCAAATGCATGAAAGGAATCATATTTGCTTTTTATTAAAGAAGACTATCCAACATTTAAAAACCTAATCATGTGCATGAGTGAACCATAAGCAATGTTTTTAGGATGTCTATTCTCAAGTTGGGATTTTTTAAGTAAGAAAAAAATGTGCCATCTCTAATTTTTAAATACCTTAAAAACAACACCCAACTTATTTTACAGTATCCCAGTTTTTATTGGACTGGATGTTTGGCAGGCAAAAGTCTAAATTATTTTCTGAAGGTTAGCAGCTAAAATCCAGCCTCAGCCTAATGGAAATAAGGTTGTAATAAAACTGGGAAAAGAAACATACCAAAATGCCAACCTCTGATTATTTATTTTTGGAATTTTTTTAACATATTCCTGATATCACTTACCTGGTATTTATGGGAGAGAAGAGAAAAATAGAAGACTATCCTACCAAGATTTAACAGAAGTATTTAAATACCAACCTAAGTGTGGTGTGCATGATTTCATTCTCCCCACGTATCATCTTCCTGTATGGTTAGAAGTCTTTTATCTAACAAGATTGGGGCCACAGTGAGTTAGTTCCACAAGAAAATTATAAAAATGAGGTAACCGCACAGTATTTTAACTTATAAAAATGTGCGTTTATTTGCCAAAGTTCAGACTGAGGGCTAGGACCTTCATTTGGGGGAAGGTTCTAATGGATAGAGTTCACTTTATTTTTTTTTTTTTTGCACAACCATTGTACATTGACTACAATTTCAATTTATGGTGGAACAAAAATGTAAGGGCACTTGAAAAGCAATCTGTATTTAAAAATTCTAGATTTTACAGTTTTTTTCCAAATCTTTTATGGTTGTTAACTGCCCTAATTTGACAATGATTTTTGTAATGACTCACCTTCATCAAGTTGTTCCAAAACATTTAACATAGGTTTCTAAAAAATAATCATTTTATTTTAGAAGATTATTCTTTCCCCATAACATTTGGTTTAATTATGTATTAACAATACCAGTCCCAACAGACATGAAGTATTTTGTGAACAAATCAAGGTTGACTTTTGGTAAGTGTATAAATTAACTGGTGGAAAGAGAAGTACAGTGACCTGTGAACAACATGGGTTTGAACTGTACAAATCCACTTATACATTATTTTTTTCAACAAATACTATAAATGTATTTTATCTTCCTTATGGTTTTCATAATACCATTTTCTCCAGCATACTTTATTATAAAAATATAGTGTATAATACATATAACATACACTAAATAGTGTTAATTGGCTATTTATGTTATTTGTAAGGCTTCTGGTCAATAGTAGGCTATTAGTAATTAAGTTTCAGGGGAGTCAAAAGTTACGTGTGGATTTTCGACTATGTGGGAGGGGTCAGCACCCCAATCCCTGTATTGTTCAAGGGTCAGCTATACTCAGATGTTCCAGAGAGTAGTTTATCGGCCAGAGGGTTGCCCTGAGGTTTGAGCTTCAACAAGGACATTTTACCTACAAAATAAAGAACATCAGTTAATCCTGAGAATAATTATAGAGAATTTCATTTAAAGACATTCTGTGTAATTTAAGAGGCAAGTAACTTTCAAATCAATCTGGGTTTAACCCCTCATCATTTTTTAAAACATTGATTGATTGACTGAAAGATTGATTGATTGATTTATAGACAGAGGGGGAGGGAGGGAGAGAGGCATCAATGTGTGGTCACTTCTCCTGCGTCCCCAACTGGGGACCTGGCCCTGCAACCCAGGCATGTGCCCCAACTGGGAATCAAACTGGCCACTCTTTGCTTCATAGGCTGGCACTCAGTCCACTGAGTTACACCAGCCAGGGCAACACCTCATCATTTTTCATCAATTCTAAACATTATTTAGAACAGTGTAATAAACTGTTAGAGTTATGAGAAACAAGTAAATTACAGAATTACACACATGAACAAGCTATGTTTATAATAATTTCACATCATTGTACAACTTCATGCATCTGTAAGTAGATGTGTTGATGCTTCTGTGTGACTGTTACTTATGTATAGTAATTGAATATTCCTGACGGACACAAGATTATGTATGCAGAAACAAACCCAAACTCTTAACTGTGATGATCAACTCTGAGACACACAGGGATCAATTCAAGAATATGATCTGAAGCTCTTCTCATTGACTCCTGAAGAGACGTTTATATCCTAAGATACAATATCTCTGCTTCCAGGAATTAACTTTCCAGTGAAGCCAAATTTAAAACAATGAACTTCTTGAACCATGGACCACATTTATCCTGTTCACCTCTATATCCCTGATACCTAACAAATGTGAATATGACCCTTCTGCTATAAATAAATAATAGCAATAGCCCATATTTTGTTCAAGTTCATGTTAATTAGAGTCTGTGGACATCATATTTGAATAGGCAGTATAAAGCTATCCAGGACTAAAAATATAAAATGTATACTGGAACATTCTTAAAGAGTATTTTTCTTTTTCCATGGATACATTAAGAACACATAAATATGTTGAAACTGGTTTAAATTAAATTAGTTGACCTGAAATAGCATTATGGAATAGAGATAGTAGTTCAAGTAACGGTTGAAACTGTGTTTCTTCTTTCAGAAACATTTGCAGAGCCATCCCTCCAGGCCACTCAGATGAAGTTGAAAAGAGCTCGCCTAGCTGATGATCTGAATGAAAAGATTGCTCAGAGACCTGGTCCTATGGAGCTGGTAGAGAAAAACATCCTGCCTGTAGACTCCAGTGTTAAGGAAGCAATTATAGGCAAGACTCTCAAAACTTATTCTGGGAGAAAGAAAGCATGGCAGTTTTAAGTAAAACGAATTTAATTTTAAAAACCAGCACCAATCATAAGTATTGTTTTCTGGGTCAATTAGAAATTAACATTTAATGCTGGTTCTATTATTATTATTATTATTATTATTATTATTATTATTATTATTATTACAGTCGTTCCTCTATATTCAAGGTAGATTGGTTCCAGAATTCCCATAGATACCAAAATCCTTGGATGCACAAGTACCATATATAAATGGTGTAGTATTTGCATTTAGCCTGCCCACCATCCTCTCATATACTTTAAAGCATCTCTAGATTACTTATAATACCTAATACAGTATAAATTCTATGTAAATAGTTGTTACACTGTATTGCCTAGGGAATAATGACCAAAAAAAAGTCTGTACATGTTCAGTATAGACGCAGTCATCTTAGGCTTAACTATGTCACACACGTCAGCAACAGCATTAACTTTTTTTAACAAATATTTTTGATCTGGGGTTGTTTGAATCTGAGAATGCAGAACCTGTGGATACAATGGGTCGACTGTATATTAAATATTTTAAGACTAGCATCTTTTACCTGTTCACACAGAGATTCTCCTTATGTCCGAGGTTTATGTCTTTTTAAGTTCTGATTTTATTATATTTTCTAAGTTAAATTTACTGTATTATACTGTTTAGTTTCTATTGTTTAAATTTTTTACATAGTTTTCATTATTTTTGTTCTATTTACTTTCAGGAAAAATAGCTTGTCAGTGTTTGTTCAGCAAGGTTATCAATGTATTCATTATGAATGGTACTATCTGTCTATTTTACCTCGTTCTTAACTTAGTTACTAATGTTTCCATTTTTTTCTGGCATAAGCTTTAGCAGGGAAAAAAATCCAGAATACTGCCACTTATTCAGCAAACAATTTTTAAAAGTTACTGTCCTGTTTGAAAAACTATGATGGTTTCCAGTACTCGTGGGAACTTTCTGTTTTGCCTTAGTATAAGTTTTAGTCTTAGGCAATTTGTAGTATATAATTAAAAGTAGTGCAATCAACTGTGATCCCTTTCAACCCCAAAGAAATGGGCTCCTAACAGTAGGGTGTTGGTATAGCTGGGCTGCTCCAGGAAGTGGGAATTATCAAAATACCCAGTCAGCACCACATTTTCCCCGTTGCCTCATAATGTTTTGTAACAGTTGGATTCCAGATCACGATCCAACCGATGTCCACGCATTGGCTTTGGCTGGTACACCTCTTAAGTCTTAATCATTTGGTTGGGTCTTCCTCCTCTGTTCATTTCTTACTATTCATCTGTTGGGTAGTGTGCTTGTTTTATCTATCACATGTCCACATTCTGAATTTTACTGGATGCATTTGCATCCCCAGTTGTTATTAAAAACTTCCTTGCCTCCTCTACTTCCTATAACAGGCAGTTGGATCCAAAGGCTTAATTCAATTCAGGTTTGATTTGCTTGTTTGTTTGTTTCCTAAGTACTTATGGTAGGTTGTGGTAGGTTCTTCCACTGGGAAGTACATCATGTTCTTTTTTTTTTTTAACAGCTTCTTGAGGTCTTACATTTAAAAAAAAAAATAAAGTTTCTCCTTTTTCATTGTAAGCTTGGTATTCCAAAAGCCAAGGTCAGTTAAGGGTTGTTTTTTTTTTTCCTTTAGGCGTTGGGAAGGAGGACTATCCCCAAACTCAGGGCGATTTCTCATTTGATGAAGACAGCAGTGATGCTTTGTCTCCAGACCAGCCAGCCAGCCAGGAGTCGCAGGGGTCAGCTGCATCCCCCAGTGAGCCAAAAGTTAGTGAATCACCGTCTTCTGCGACTACCAGCACTCCAGCCCAGGTATCATCTTTCGTGTTTTTACCTCTAAGCAGAGAAAATTTCTTGTTTTTTGTATGTCAAGTATATATCTTATATTTTACACACCAATACGTTCTTACCAGAAGGTTAGTCTGAAATTGTGGCAAAATATCAATTTTTCACCTGTAATGGAATCACTCTTAACATTTTTAATGGATTCTTACATTTTATTTCTGTATTACATACATATTTTTATTTCACAGTTTTGTAACTCTTAAAAATTTTTTCATGTAACTTCTTTTTGAGGTATAATTCACATACTGTAAAGTCTGCCTTCTTTTTAACCATCTCACTGTTTTAAAGTGCACAGTTCAGTGGTGTTAAGTAGGCTGACACTAATGTGCAGCAGATCACCAGAACTTTCTCATCTTGGAAAACTGCAACTGTACCCATTAAACAACTCCCAGTTTCCCCTTGCCCCAGGCCCTGGCAACCACCATTCCATTTCTGTCTTTATGAATTTGACTACTTCAGATATCTCGTATCTAAATCGTACAGTGTTTGACTTTTTGTGACTGTCTTATTTCACTTAATATAATATCCTCAAGGTTCATCCATGTTGTAGTATGTGACAGAATCATCTTTATTTTTAAGGCTGAATAATATTCCATTGTATGGATTTACTACATTTTGCTTATTTGTTCATCAGTGGACATTGGGTCACTTCTGTCTCTTGACCACTGTGAATAATGGTGCTGTGTACATGGGGGTGGATCGTTTCTTCAAAAACCTGTTATCAGTTCTTTGGGGCATATACCATAAGTGGGGTTGCTGGATCATACGGTCATTCTATTTCTATTTGTTAAGGAACCTCCATATTGGTCTCCATAGTGACTGCACTGTTTCATACTCTCTACATCCTTGCTGACACTTCTCAGTTTACATTCTTTTAATAGTAGCCATTCCATTGGTGGGAGGTGATACCTCACTGTGCTTTTGATTTGCATTTCTCTGATGTTTAGTGATGTTGAACATCTTTTCATATTCTTGTTCACCATTTGTATATTATCTTTGGAGAAATGTCTATTGAAGTCTTTTGCCCATTTTTTAATCAGGTTATTTTTCTGTTGTTGAGTTGTAGGAGTTCTTTATATATTCTGGATATTAATCTCTTATGAGACATATGATTTGCAAATATTTCCTCCCATTCCACATGTCACATTTTCACTGTTAATAATATGCCTAATGCACATACGTTTTTAAGTTCAATATAGTCCCTGATCAATAAATATATTTATATCATTTTTAATTGCTGTGTAGTATTCAATTGAACTGATATACTGAATTGCTTTTAACCTGTTTCCTATTGTTGGTTATTTGGCATTGTTTCCTATTTTTAACTCATAAACATGCTAAGAGCCCCTTCTGTGTTCTCATGTATTTGCTATACCCTTTTTTTTTAATATATACATTGTCAAGCACTTACTATTTCTTTAACTAATTACCAGGTGTTGAAATGGGATTGAACCTTTTGTTGGGCAAAAGATAGACACTCTAACTGCCTTCCAGGAAGGTAATACTGACTTCCAGTCACTATGTGTTTACCATAAGTAGGTAATATCATTACCTTGAATCCTGAACACCATTTGGATATTTGACTGTTTTAATTGACTCCTTGATTTTGGTTAGATTGAATTCATTTGTTCAATGAATATTTATTGAGCACCTATTATATGTCAGATGGTATTGGGAACAGGAGTCTAGTACATGCAAAGGAATCCAATAAATATTTTTAATAATTGCATTGGAAATTCATATTTCTTATTTCTCAGTGGGTGTTTCAGTTTCATGAGAACCCCTATCCTTCATAAAATTTCTTGTTCTCTCCTTATGGTTGTCAACTGATGGTCATTAGCATCAACTCTGTGCCTACAGGAACCCCCAATTTGGGGTGCAGTGAAGAAGGAAACTTTATTCAGTGCAAAATAGCTCAACTGTCATATTGCACGGCAGTGAAAACAGCATGGCTATGAGGCAGCCCTGGGGCCAGGCAGTCCTAGGGCCAAGCCCCTCTCACACTATACAGCTCTGCCCTGCTCCTTGCTGGTGTGCTTTGTGCTATGTTGCTCTACTTCACTCTGGTCTGCTGTGCTCCAGCAATGTGTCTTTGGTGTTTTAGCTCAGCCAGGGAGACGCAATTGATGTAAAAGGAAAGTGCACACTCAGAGCAAGAGGAGAGTTGGCTTGTATGGACAGAAGTCTTCACTCCTTGGCCCTAATTGGTCTGTCCTTATGCAGAAGAGGACTTCAAATCCTCAGAGTTTGGTTGGTCTAAAAGACACTGTCCTGATTCATCAGAATAGAGCCACTCCAGTTGATTGGAGCTGCATAAGCTCTGATTGAATGAGGAAAGCCTCAGTCCTATTGGTTTAAAATAGGGTTCCAGGTACTCCTTTCTAAGAGCTGGCTCAGATGGCAGAAATGCACTGCAGGCAGGCGGTTCAGTGCAGAGGGAGGCATTTCAGTGCTGGCTTCTCCCAGAAGTGCAGTTTGTGCAAGAGGCCCCTGTGAAGAAGTGATTGCTACACTCTAGGTTTGTTGATTGGTTGGTGGTTGATCAGTTGGTTGGTTAGTTGGTTGGTTTTTTACATTTGAGCCAGTTAGCCTCTAGAAGTCCTTCCTAGTGGGTGTCTTCTTTCTTAGGGTTCACATGGTGTTTTTGACTTACTAAAATTTTAAAAGAATTTTGTTATTTTTTTAAAAGATTTTATTTATTTATTTTTAGAGAGCGGGGAAGGCAGGGAGAAAAAGAGGGGGAGAAACATCAATGTGTGGTTGCCTCTGAAATGTCCCCTGCTAGGGACCTGGCCTGCAACCCAGGCATGTGCCCCGCCTGGGAATCGAAGTATGACCCTTCAGTTCGCAGCCCACACTCAATCCACTGAGCTGCACCAGCCAGGGCAGAATTCTGTTATTTTAAATTCAAAACTATTGAGCTACTTAATGGGGTTGGTGGAGTTCAGTAGAAAATCTTCTCATTATAGCTAGCATCATAGAATTTTTGAGTTGGAAAGATATTTAGCAATTACCTGCCTTAACTCTTAAACCAAAGAAGGCCTGGGTTCAGAAAAAATTTTTATATTTTCTTACAGCATTTCTTCTTATTCATGAATATCTATTTGTCTTTCAGCATTATTTTCTTGCTTGCACTTAGCATAATCTGAAATATATTAATTAATTTATTTTTTATGCCTCTAAATGTGAAAATGTGAGCCTATGAGAGAAGGACTTTGACTCTTAGAGGGCAAGAGCTGTGTGTGTGATTGTGTGTGTGTCTGCATGTGTGTATGTCTTCAACGTCTAGCACAGGGCCTGTTGCAGAAAAAGTGCTTAGTAAACACTAACTTGAATTCAGCACCATGAGAGCTTACTGACATCCAGCCTGCAGACGTGGTGTTTGTGTTCTTCCTTTAAGAAGAGAGCCTCTCCAGCTTGGATTCATCAAAAGTAGTGTGGGTAGCTGCAGTTCATATGCTCCTGTCAAAGTTTACAGGGCAAGAGTGACTAGCCCCTCAGGTTTGCTGGAACTTGACCTAGAAGAAGGATGAGGGTGAGTGCCCAGCTCACAGTCTGAGGTCTAAGCAGGCAGAGAGGGAGAGCAAGGGAAACCAGCCCTTACTGTATTCTCACATTTTTGCTGCACCCTGCTTTTGAGCTTTAAAAATAGGTCTAAAAAGGAATGTCAAGTATGCAAGTAAATAACCTTAAAAAACAGTTATACTTATCCATTTGGGTTGTTCTTTGCTTCTGAGTTGGTCAGAATATCAGACAGCTAATAGCACATCCTTAGCTTTTAGTAACACAGAATTTTTGTCACCTCAGCTGTCTACCTGATAATGACTTCATGGCTGTTCTACCCGTGTAGGAGATTGTCATTCTCCTTTGCCCAGCATGGCTTGTACTAGTAGGTTTTTTACTTTGTTCTTGAAATTTGGTCTTCAGCTAAGTTTGTAAGTCAGAAACTTTAACCAGAGGCAGTGCCACCCAGTAGGCTATTCCAGAATTATTTGAAGGAAAAAAAGGTAGCTATAGCAGTGTTTCTTGAAGAATAAATATGCTCTACTTATTGCCAGTGCAACACACAGTAAGCCTTGGGTCATTCCCGAACTTAAGCAGTTTTTGTAACACTCTCCAGGGTTGCTGCCGCACCAGTTCTGCCTGCTGTGTGTTGACCCCTGGCAGTCTGCTCTTTAGTTGTCAGCTGGGCCTGAGGGAGAAGACCCACTTTAGAGAATGGTACACTTCCTACTTATGATTTGAATAAAAGAACCTAGAATCAAAGCTAGCTCACTGCTATTACATAATTTCTGTATGGTATACCTTGAGGCCTTCTTAAATTGTGTCATTTATTCCCTTGTGTTATGTGTTGTAGTATTTATAAGTAAGGAATTCAGATTCTTTTTTTTTTTTTAAAGATTTTATTTATTTATCTTTAGAGTGGAAGGGAAGGAGAGAGGGAGAGAAACATCAATGTATGGTTGCCTTTCATGCATCCCCTGCTGGGAACTGGCCTGCAGGGAACCTGCCCGCAACCCTGGCATGTGCCCTGACTGGGAATCGAACTGCGATTGTCTGGTTCGCAGGCCCGTGCTCAATCCACTGAGCTACACCAGCCAGGGCTCAGATTCTTATTATTTATATTTCTATTCATGCAATTAAAGAAGCATCTCTATATTAACTGCTATGTTGTTTTGGCAAATTTTGTATTTTATTTTCAGTTATCCAGTGTTTGTTTATAGAATTTATTCAGGCATTTCACCTGATATATTAAAAATATATATTTATCTCCCTAAATATAATTACTTTCACACTTTCAGTTCCAGGGGAAAGTCCCTAAAAACATTGCTTCTCATTAGATATGAAGTTTCCAATGGCCAGGGATGTCCCATCATTTTATCTTAGTAGCTTCATACTGAACACACAGGACCCAACACATAGCAAGTGCTTATTGCCTTAGTGAATGAAAAAGTCCCAGGAGATGG